GTCTGTTTTTTCAAAATGAGCGGCTTTTCACGGACTCCTGTATCGGATTACATTCTGCGCTCCCCAATTGGATTTCCTCGGTTTAAAATTCATACGAAATCGACACCCAGATCTCGTCTCTGCTATTTGTTCTTTAAAAAATGTTACAATAAATCACCCCCCACCCCCTCTCTAAATTCTACCACACGGAAAATGTCAAGGTTCTTCGGGCCAAATCGTCTAAATGGCTCTAAGGAACAGCTGTACCAAGTGGCCCTTGGTATAAGAAAATGCCAGTATCTTTTGGTATACCCTTAATACTAATATAAAGATGATTATTTATTATTTATTATTATTATTTATTATTTATTATTTATTTATTAATTTATTTATTATTTTATATTTATTATTTATTATTTATTATTTATTATTATTATTTTTTATTTATTATTTATATATTATTATTATATTTATTATTTTTATTTATTATTTATTATTTATTATTTATTATTTATTATTTATATATTATTATTATTTATTATTTATTACTTATTACTTGATTACTTATTACTTTATTTACTTATTACTTATTACTTATATTATTACTTATTATTATTACTATTACTTATTATTTATTATTTACTTTTTATTATATAATTTAATATGTCAAAATCAATATGGAGTAATCAATGACCGAGTACAAACACAACAAAAGAAAATAAAATGTATGTTTTTTTTCAAATTATCATTAGAAAATTCGAAATTTCCTACTACTTTAGTTTTGAATAAATTTATTTGAGTTTGCACTTTACGAACGTTTGGAATGTACAATAGCCACTTAATTGGCTTTGGATTAACAATGGTGTCTTCCTAATGATTAATTATACAACAAACAAAATGTAATCAATTTAATTACATACAACGTAGAAAATATTTTACTAAATGATCAGATTAAGCCATTGTAAATCCAGCTATTGAGAAGAGTCTCGCTAAAATCGCAAACTTAGAAATACTCAATTGAGGTCTCCGACAGATGATGTCTCAATTAACATACAAAGTCAATGATGAGTGAGTGACGTAAACAGTAAAATGTTTTTCTCAGGGACAATAGTAAAATATTTATTTATAATTCTCATCAAGACAAAGGAAAACTGAGGAACATTTTTTTCGAGTGACAGGGTCTCAGATATGCAGTGTTGTAGATGGTGTAACTCGTGGAAGTATTGTTATTTTGATTAGAAATAGGTACTCATTTATTGTGTTAAGTTGTCCAAACACTCCAAACAATTATCCGGTTATGAGTTACTATTTGGAAATTTCCAGTTACTACTATCTCACAAATTAGTAAAAGATGTTGTGGAAAAGAAGCATGGCTTGTCTTTTGCTTAACAATTCCAAAACCAATTTTAAATTACGAAATTCAAAAATCATTTACCGAACACTCAGAATACCGAATTCGAATTGTGATTCTATAAATCCTACTAATATTGCACACACTAAAAGCTTTTTTACAATCAGTTTATTACCTAAACGTTGTAACGAAGTATCCGTTTTCCGCCCTGAAGTTACCAGTTATAGTAATCACTCTGTAGATAAACACTCGGTATCTAGAGGCGCTTCGTTACGAAAAGTGTCATCCGAAAGTACTTAGGGGTTGAAGATAGAAGGTGTATGTTTTAATTTCTAGAAAAACTCCAGTTAACAACTAGCCTTACTGGACTACCGACTTTAGAAATTTTAATCTGGCTAATTAAGTAAGTGCAATTAATAGTAGCTAAATAAATGTGTCAGTCGTGAGAGGTGTCCCTGGATGCGCTCTATTTTTTCCAGATGTCGAAAAATTGCATCTTCGAAAATGACCTCTAAATTATTTAAAACGATTGATTACGCCAAAGCGTCAGCTGATTTACTCAGTTCGGATGCCTTTATTTAAGTGGGCGCTACGGAATACATTTAAATGAGCTTCTAGTTAGATTTCGACTAACGTATTATAAATTAACGAGTAAGTTTAATTGAAACAGCAAAATAACGATGAAATATAATCGTGAATTTATAATGCGTTGATCGAAAGGTAACTGAACGTTCGGTGGATTATTTAAATGTATTCCGTAGGACGCACTTAGGTTAAAGCGGCGCGCGCATCAGCAGTTGACACTTTGGCGTAATCGTCGTATGTTGATCAGCATAATTTCTACTCAGTCATTCTTTCATTAACAGTAATAATTGAATAAGGAAGCCTTAGCGCTAAAGGATGGGGAGCCCCCCCCCCCTCCCGAACATGGGTGAAAACTTCTTTTTAACTACGGTTCTCAAAAATATTTCGGCCTTGTTTTTTATTGCGTCACTGCGTATCGATCGCTGTTGAAATTACTGGTCTTCTACTAATGCTGATTAGAAAGTTTTTAATTTAAAGCAATTTGTATAATTGCAGGTAATGGCGCTACTAAATTTAAAAACACTTTAAAATCGATATCAGCATTACGTAAATAATAGATCCTTAAATAGGAAATGGTTTGAGCTTGAATAAGTATTGGACATGTTGAGGTTGAACTAATGTTGAGAGAGTGGCGCAACACAATTATTTAAAATGACTACAAATAAAGTCTCTATTTGTTACACGTGTTACATGTATGAATGCTTTAGCCCATACAGCACATGGGTCATGGGCTGCTATTAGACCTATGCTTTCCATACAAAATAGCTGGCCACACATAGGGGGCACTGTAGTCGTGGGTATGTTACAGCATTGTTTAAATATTTAAACAATGGTTACAGTGACTTGATAGTGACAGTGTGGTCATACGGTGGTGACATTTTCTATTGGTACTTGGGAGATCCGCCATGTTTTGGTCAAATACACCGGATTGGTAGAAATTAACCTGGAAACCAAGGTGATGTATTTATCTTGCTGGACACAATTGTGACAGCATTATTGTAACCATAGCAAAATCTACAAATTGGCTTAAACCAATCATTTCAATGATAAATTGAAATTTTTCGGAATGAAATAGAGGAAAAATAGGAAATTCATTTCAATGCATCACCATCATAGCCATCTTGATTTAATAAGATCTAGTTACCCGTGAACGTTTTATTGAGGAATGAATGTAAAACATTCGATTATGAACGTTTTCTTGTAAATCAATGTAAAAGTATAGAGTGTGACACATCATTATTTTTCTTTGTAGTCTTCTATCTCATTCTGTAAACAGATTCAGATTCTCCAAAAAAAAAGTGCCCATAAAATGTGCTAACGAGAACCGTCCATTTCCGAAGCACAAAGACTAGAGTTGTAAACGGCTAATTATAAGTTAAGTTGCTCTTAGCAAACGTGCGCGAAAACGTCAACAGTGAAAAAAAAGTAATGTCGCGCATTGATAAATTTGTACGAAACAGAATTTTATCTAATCAGCTCAGTTGTGGGAAACATTATGTACCTATATAATTTCGGCATTTGACTGATATCTCCAAGTCTCATATGCGCGAAATAGAACTTCGCGCCTCTGGTTTAAAAAGTAACTATTTTTTTGTGGTTTTATATGTACACTTAAATGTTTTGTTTTGTAATCTTCAATTTTATTAATAATTACGACAGTTTGTGTATGACTAATGTGTTTTTTAATGACAAATAAATTAATCTATCTATCGAAAACAAAATTTCAGCGTTTAATTGATGCAGGAATAACTCGATAATAAATCCTAAGTGTGGTGTCACACTATGCGTTTTTACCGCTCCCGCTAAAACGGATGCGGTTTGACAGGATGAGATCTACTTGTCACACTATTCCGGTCTAACGGGATGCATTTTTGCTATATTTTGGCAGTCTAAGTAGTGTCATGTCTCAATTATATTGGTAAAGATTTAGTTTTCTAACTCAATGGTAAAGATGGTTTGTGCGCTTTAGGCGGAGGGGTTATTGCGGAAGCAGATATATCGTCAATATTGAATTGAACCTTTTAATTCAGAACGAGAATCTAATAATAGGTTCGAGAAGTTTTATGAAAAAATTCGAATGAACAAGAAAATTTTTTTTTCTATTTCGGTGTCACAATGATGATTTTGTACAACTGTTTTCGGCCGAAAACAGTTGTACAAAGACAGTGATTATAGTCGTTTTTTTTGGTAACTCATCTCTTAAGTTGGCAGTTACTAGTTAGTTACAAGTAGGTACTTCGTTGGGCACTTCCATGTTTGAACTTCAAAATGTCAGTCTTACTACGCTGCCAACCTAAAACTTAACGGCATAAAAAGTGTTCCCAACATAAAACATGTTAGTTCTAATGTTCCCTATAGTTTCTGATAATGATTTTTTAATTAAATTAAAGCACCGAAATAGAAAAAATAGTATGAAAAACGCGTGTTACAATGCTTTATTGTAATACTCCTATCTTGCGGACACTCGTGCCTACGCTTCGCGTCGCCACTCGTGCCACAAGATAGTCGTATTACAATAGGTCGCATTGTAACACTTGTCTTTCAATATTACTATT